TTAATTCATCAGTCTGACATGATAAATCCAAACCACAACATAGACATGAACACAAGCTGTGCTGCGCCAGAGACAATGATTATTTATTCTATTTATTATTTAATAAAGCAACAATATTGTTATTATATTTATTAATGTTCATTAAACAAATATTAAATGCGATAAATGAAATGTTTGAATCATCTGTTTCCTCCAGGCTCCACGTCGGATCCTTGATGAGGAGGTGACGGTTCGACTGTCGTCCTGCAGCGACACCATCATCCTGCAGCCCCCGCCCCCGCGCCCCCCCCCCCCCCCCCCGGCATTACCATCAGTTTGTGTTGTTATTTTCTATAAAATAAATGGTACTTCAAATAAACACATGTGAAGACTTTTTATTACTTTTTTTTGCAAATCAACAGGTGGTGCCAAACGAAGGGCAGCTACAACAAATTATCATTGTAATCTCCACAATAATACTGGTTGTCACCCTGGCCCATATCATTTCCTGTTATAGACTAACCTCGGCCCCCCATCTCAGAAAGGAAAGTTGATGTGGCCCCCACTGAAAAAAGTTTGGGGACCGCTGCTGTATAAGATCATTAAAAATAAGGTTCATTCCTATGCTGCCCAGGGATCCCTCATAGAGCATAACAGTGGGAAGAAACCCAGTACAGTCCCCATTCAGCTGGCCAATTAGAGCTGGTGAATAATTTAAAGAGTTTCCCCCAAAACAGTGCGTTGTTCTGAGAGCAATCAGTCCCACACAAAGAACATGGAGGCCAGCCCACTCTGAGCCACAGCCATATGCAATTTCTACTATAACGGTCACACACATACACAAACACACACTGTAAATACTGTCAGTGCATACAGTACGTGACATACAGTGCAAGATAATACATATGGAGCAACAAGAGTATCATTAGGGAGAGCAGACACACAACCACCAGGGTGGATAAGAGTCTGCAGGGAGTGATAATGTAATAAAATAAGGGCATACGATCAATAGCTTTACCACATGCACAAACACACACTCACACACACACTCACACACACTCACAGGAAACCTGCAGGGGTCACAGCTAATGATGTGAGCACTCCAACAGGACTATGGAAATTGACAGAGAAATATGAACAGAGCACACACAAACACACACGCATGCTGTACTACACAAGCACACCTGCACCTCAGTATGAAAAACCAACAAATACTGTCTTATTAAATTCAGAACCAATGAATAGCAACAAAGGCCGTGCATGGCATCTTATCAGTGAGCAAATAAAGACAGGGCACTGTTTGTCACCTGCTATTATTCTCTCTCTCTCTTGATTAATCTGCCCCCCCCCCTTCTTTTATCTCCATCTCTGTCCTCACCTATACGTTTTCCTTCCTGCTGGAGTCAGTGGAGATGAATTCAACCTACAGTAGAAAGTGAGGCTACATTTGTCAGCAGAGCTTCAAAATGTAATAATGAGGTGAATTTAGATTCGACTTCACTTTGAATTCAAGTGACAGGAAAAAAAAGGCTCTGGCAGATGTTTTCTTTATGAAGGTGCCTATTTGCCAGGTTCCCCTGATAAACAACTCCACCTCAATTTTACAGGCTTGACATGTCTCAAGAAGAAAGTCAGCAAGGTTATTAATGGTGTGGAGAGAACCTTTTTTCTTTGAAGATGAACAGAAACTTTTGCCCTGAAAATATAAACCGCCCCACAATATAATTCACTCTTTCCGTCACCAGACAGTGGAGATCGATGCATCCAGGGTTACTTAGAAAAGCAAATGATCTGTCATTTCCTTTCAGCCATTGTAAGGTGTGTACAAGTGCTGAATAATTGAACCGAGCAGGGCCTATCATGTTCTGGCTCACTTTTTAGCACTTCAAAAGGTGGCATTCATTATTGATTGTAGTTCTGCAAACAATTTACTTTCATCTGCTCCATAATTCAGAGCCCCCTTCCCTTTCAATTTGTATTATTTTTCTTTGTGAGCCTCAAGTTTCTTTTACAAATCGAGACGTGACTGTAACGAAATAGCAGGCTAAGATGAACTGGAGCATGACTTTGAAATGCAAAATATTTTTCCAAGTCAAACAGAGTTGTTCTCAAGGTTGCACTAATCCACCAAAACTGCTGGTAACTCAGCTGGAGGACAGTGTGAAATGGAAATGTTACAGCGGGCAGGTGTGCGTGCGACACGGCCTTGGACGAGCAGGAGGAAAAACCTCTGCCAAGCAGTGCCCCCCATCGGTGAACATACGCTGATATAAACATAAACAGATTCAGCGAACATGATTCACATGGACACAATCAATACTCCAGTTTTCCTCCTTTTACACACACGTACACAGGCGCGCACACACACACACACACACACACACACACACACGCACACACACGTAATAGAATTTTTTAAAACCACAAACAAAAGGAAACGCTATTAAGCATTTTTCTTCGCTGTCAGTGTTCATCAGCATATCATGCCAATCTAGGTGTGCGGTTTACTTGCTCTCGTTGCTGTACTGCCCACAGGCAGCGCGTTGTTCCAGCTTCACAACAGCTGTGTCGTAGAACAGACGAAACATAACAAATTCTGTGTAAATACAGTATGACACAGATTTGATTTATTAAAATGTCAGCTTGTTGAAAGAGAAGGGGAAAAGAAAGAGGGAGTAATGAGGCTGTTGGGTTTTTTTTATGACATAGAACAGAAAAGATGATATTTTGTTCAGTGTAGATGTCCATCAGTGTACTGCAGTGACTCGTGCTGTAAAGATGTAATCAGGACTGGGTGATGTGGTGATGATGAAATAACCGAACAGGAAGTCTGTTTTTGGCTAATGCAGTAAATTAGATAACTTATATCTTATGTAACTTATAAGTTAAGCTTATATATAAGTTTTCTAATTTGATTGTAATAACTTTAGATAGATAGATAGGTAGATAGATAGATAGATAGATACCAACTTTACCTTCCGAGAGCCATGCTATTAGCACGTCTAATAGTTTAATGAGGCCATTGCTTGAAAAAACATATCATGGTATGTCAGTGAAATAATCACAAAAATGTATTTATGCTTCTGGTGAAAAACAAAATAAAAAAATAGCACAGATCACAGTGTTCATTCCTGTGCTTCAGGCATTAGAAAAAAACAAAAAAAAATCTAACAACATAATGAAATCGTGTATTCACTTTCAAAACAACAGAGAAAGTAGTTGAAAAATTTCATATGTTTTTCAAGGGAGAACACAGAGCTCGTACACCACCAGAATTTTAAAACACATATTTCTTTTCCTAATTTATCAGTATTTGTGTCTGTGCTTGTGGCTGCAGAGCAGCAGCAGAACACAGAAAGTTTTCAGTATTCAAGGCTGATTTTCAGATAACACCTCTGACAGTCAGAATTGAATTCATTCTTATCTTATTTAATAACAATATCAGAGTCTGCATAAAGGTTACATACAACCAGTGACTTGTGTCACCAACATCATCTTGACTCATATAATATTTATACCAAATGTGAATACAGCTGCATCACAGTTTGAGACTGCGCAAACACCTTAAGGAAACAGCAGCTGTTAGTCAAAGCAGTAGTCTTGCCACATTGGCCTGTTTCTATGGGCCTATACTGACAAAAATTACACTGCATAAAGAAAACAAAATTAAAGAGTAAAATTGCTGACGAGGCATCATGCTGATCTCAGCCTGATGAAATTATTGCAGTCTATCTTGTGCATGACGAACTAACACTTTTATTCTGCAACAGTAAGTAATCTAATTTGGAGGCTTTCTTCCCCTCTTTGATTTAGGAATCATTCTCTGAGAAATGTTACAATACCAATTAAAATCAACATTATGCATTCTTATTTAAAAGGAATCATCTACAGCAGGGGACTTCCAACTTTTACACATTCCTTGATGGTGGAGGGCTGAAGTGAGGACACTCACCACATTTTAATAGCCTGAAAATATATTCAATCCCTTCATTTTTGGACAATTGTAGTCACTCTATGAGCTCTTTGTACCAGCATAATTAGGCTTTGCTTTCATTTCATTATACCTGGACTACTGAAGTGTTCTTTGCCTGTCTTACAAGCTTTGAACAGAAGTTGAAAAATTGGTCTGAACTCAGCGGCCATGCAGCCTTTAAATTCAAATTTAGAGACACATTACCCCTATTTTAGTTTACCTACACTGGAGGGTACATTTTGGCCACCTGTTATTCCTCCCTATACTTTTGACTATTCTTACTGTTAATTTTGAAGTAATTTCATGACCTGGCACCCAGCCACACTGCAGAGGCTTTATGTCCATATCCTGAGGCCTCTAAGAGGGTGTTCAGACTGACAAAACAACCCTGTGTTAAAACAATACAAAAATGCAAGGAGCTGCATTGGTGGCATGTGCTGCTTCAGGTACCAGCGAGACACAAAATAAGGTCCAGAAATGTATAGCTACAGCCATTTATAGTACTTATATAGTACAAGACAGGATTTTAATACTTTGAAAACTTGGAATGATTATTGCATTGATAATTGTATGGTAAACTGTGGCAATAATAGAGTATATACAGTATATAATTGTCATTACAAAGTTATCTACCAGTAATGTGAGCTGCACACATTTGATTGGCTACAGCAGCACCTTCCTGGATGACACTTTTTTTGCTGTAGGCCTCTGCGCTAGCAACCCTGCTGCGTTGACCGACTTACCTCATTCAAATGAATGAGGAGGCTGTGTTTTTTCTTCAGTCAGACTGAATCTGTGGAATTAGATGACTTTTCAGAACATAGTTTTATCTGAAAGCTACCCCAACATTTGTTTTTCAAGATTATGATTCGATTAGAAGATTCATTCTTAAATGAAAATTGATTTTTGATTTAATAAAAAAAGGATGTGAAAGCCTGCAACCTCTGCAAAATGTTTGTCTGGTCTCACAGAGGCCAAAACTAATAGTATAGGCTAGATCTCTTATGTCATAACATTTCATTATGGCCTGGTCAACAAGTTATGGTGTATTTAGGCTAGAAATGTGGATCTCAGAGGATTCATCGCCTGCATTAGGACACAGAAATAGCAAGCTTGGTGCTGATGAATTAAAACATGCTTAAAACAATATATTAACAATTCCGATTCTAATTTCAAGGACCGCCTGATATTCCTCCATGGACCTTGAATATACAATCATACAATCATATAACCACCTCTTCTCCCCCTAGCTCAGTAACTCAACGTACTCCACTGAGTGCAGAATATAAAAGCATATCTCTGAGCCACAAGGGTAAACAAATAATAAAACATTGTCTATATGCCACTGCAGCATGGAGACCATCATGCAACACTGCTTCCTCCTTTGTGTTGTGGTAATGCGATTGCACTTGTGGTCGCAGGGTGTGACACACTGGCCTCGCAGTGTGTTGGTGCCTATAGTGATAGAGCAGATCAGTTACCCTGGTAATTATGCAGCCCATAGACATATGGAGCAGGTGTGAGAACAACACAAGCTGTGACTCACCTTGAATTATTTACCCACTTAAATGTGTGTCGGGTTGTGTTTATGTGTGTGTTTAAGTGTCTTCGCATGCAAGAGTACTTGTGTGTGTGCATACATTAGCCAGAGTGTATATTATATTATGTGAAAGCATCTACAGTTGAGTTGGTGTGAAGCATTGTCTGGATGAAAAAGTCTTTCAACGTTTTTTTTGTTTGTTTGTTTATTCTTTCTAAAATTCCCAAATGGAAAAATGATATTTTATGCATGTTCTTATTGGCTAGAGTGCCAGCTGTTCGCTTATTGATGCGTTTTACCATGGTTGGAAAAACAACCGGGCCATTCAGAGATTTGTAGGCTACATTAAGAATGGGGGCATCATCTTCCTGTGCCACAGCAAGAAAAATAGCGAGAGAAAAAATTGCCCTGAAAATGGCAACAAACCTGTAGTTTGATGTAACTGTTAAATTCCTCCTCAGGAAACCACAATTGTCTGTGCAATGTTTTCAGCTGATCCATCTGTTAGATTTGGAGATATTCCACTGGATAAGTGAAAACTTTGACCTGTTGGCGGTGCTGGATAAAAAGTCTGGAAACTGCCAGAGTTATTATGATGCATCTTCTGGACATCATGAATATCTGCGCCACATTCCATGACAGTCCATCCTTTGGTTTTTAAGATATTTCACCAAAAAAACAAAAATGTCAACCTCATGACTGTTACAAGAAAAGTCAGGGAACACAACGGCAGACTGAAAAATGGAGAGAAATACCAATTCAGTCTAGTCGGATAGCAAACTGAGTTCTACATATCTCTCTGGTCACATCTTAAACTCTATGACCCTCTATCAATTGTCATGTGTGGCTGTGAAATTCTCATGCTGTTTCCGTTATCCTCTTCCACGCAATAGCAACAGAAAAATCCCAATGACAGTTAAGAGCTGCCTTGATGTAAAGCTCGTACAACATCTGTCCGCAAACCTGCCACCTGCTTTTAACTCTGTTGTCTATGTAAGTGCATGAGAAATATGCCACCAATTACAGTGCACACATTAACACACAACAACTGCATTCACATGTGGCAGACATGATAAGGTCACACAGATAAACTATAAAGACAGTGGTACACACACACACACACACACACACACACATTACCACCTACGCACATAGACAAAGCAAGTTCTAATGACTGTGTGGGCGATGTAATTTGTCTTTAGTGTGGACACATCAATGATCTGATTGGATTTGTTGCGGACACAGGAGATGGACAGGCTTCCTGGCACAACCCGCCTATGTCTTTCCAGATCTGGATGCATCATCCAGAGGAGCTACACTGCAGGATACACTTCAAGGGAAACAGAGATTTAGAAAAACAAGGAAAAGAAGCGGAGGAGGAGGAGGTGGAGGAAGAGAAAGGAAGAAATTTCCTAATTAGCCAGTTTCCATACATAGCTGGCACACAAGTGATGGCTTAGAAGTAATTAGATAGCAGTGCAGGATCCTTGAAGTAGGTTTCACTGCCAATGCAGTGCTCAAGAGCACATTAATCTAAGAAATGTAAATTACTCAGAACTGGAATACACCCTCGTCAGCTTGGGATTTGTCAGTAAAAAACATACAAACTATGAACTGTTAATAAAAGTGTCTGAATTGTGTACATTCTAATTAATAAATTCGACAAGCCAGGATCATATCAAACACAGTAACATCAGACACTCACACACATTGCAAATAAACTGAGGCATAAGATGTGCTCAACACAAGATCCCAGTTGCCTTATCCACTGCAACACCCTGGGTGTTTTTCATGATCTGATTATTTGGAGTGTGTGAAGTGACAAATGTGCCCATTACTGAGGATCTAATGCTGTTTCATTACCTCCACCATCCTCCTGATGTGATACTCATTCATGGCCAGCTCTGTGGTTTGCAGTCTGTTACACACACAATTGAGTCAATTTAGAGGACGCTCTCAGGGAATACAGAGCCTATTCTGCTTTAGCTGAGAAACACACGCCGTGTGTCAGTCTGAATTGGTCACAGGTTGTGACGGGAAGGCCGGAAAGGCACTGAAACCACGAACAGCTCGCTCTCTAACACCGTTTGGTGTGGTCAGTGTGGTTTAAGGACAAGCTGGGAGCAGCAGTGCGCCTTACCTGTTGGAGAAGACCTTGCTGTAATTGTACACTTGGATCTCCAGCATCTCGTTGCCATCCAGCCTGCTGGCAATGGGCCATCGAAATGTCTGGAAAAAAAAAAATGCTTAAGAACATAGTAAAGCTGCAACTAACTGTTACATTGATTGTGTGAAAATGGCTGCCATTTTTTTTCCCCCACATTCCAGTGAGTTGTCTTGAATTTGCTTGTTTTGTTCAACCAACAGTCTAAAACCCCAAATTCACAATAATATAAGTTTGATTCACAATACTGTTAGATGTGAAGATTGAAACCACTCTCCTATTTATTTGGTAAATATGAAGCTACCGCTACCGGCACAAAACAGTTGCAGACGAGACCCCCCCCCACATAAAATTGCAATGCGTTGTTTTTACATGGTGTTATTGGTGAGCTTTACAGGTGTTGGTAGGTGGATTTTGTTATCTTTGCTTGGAAAATGTAATAATTGAAACGTTAGCAACAATGACCACCAGAGAAGTCGGTCCACGAAGTGAAGCTTTGGAGTTACCAGCACATTTCTCACATCTCCTGCACCAATATCATGTACTGAACCAGTCTGTCCATTGAACTGATTTCGACCCTAACTCTCTAACTATCGGCTAGAAAGCTAATAAGGGTATTTCCCCAAATGTTAGTCTATTCCTTCACGTCGATCAGAGTCCAGGACCAGATTCAAGGCTTTGTGTCGGCATGTATCCGCTTCTATGAAGTGACCTCGAATTTAAAAGAATCCATACCAGAGACAGAGGTGCTGTTCTGGAGGGAACAAAGCATTATAATGTTTTATTTATTACCATAAACATCTCCAGGTTGTATATCTTTGACTAAAAATATTTATAAGCTTATTTCCTATAAGGTTAAACAACAAAAAGCAGCAGCCAAGCAAGATGTTATGGTAATGAATTCTTGAAAATGTCTTGGATATCCTTGAGAAAAGGGCTCAGGTTGTGAGAAGTGTGGAAACAGGTCTGAGCAATGACCCTCCTTTGGCATTTTAACTTTTATTAGCTCTGAAAAACAGTTTGAAGAGATTTCAGGTGGCTTGTTTCATGTAGCTTTGACAGGAAAAGGAAAAAAACAGTAAAGCTTTATTATTATTCTTTTCATTTATGCTAAACCATTTTCAACACATATCTCCTCAGTGATGGCTTTACTAATTGGCTTTTTCAGGCTGATCAGACACTCATTATGCTACTTTTCTCTATTTTCCAACACTTTTCAGCACATACTGCATCTCTCGTGACAGGGCTGTCACGTATATGAACCCTGAGGGTCTATTACCAGACAGCTAGTCTGTCAGCAGCACTGTCAAATAGGTAGATGAGTTTGATCACTTAACTCACTGATGTTAAAAACAATTAGAAAAGGGACTTCATAAAGAATGAAACGCAGCACTTACAGCTAATAGGAAACAGTGAAAACAAGGTAATAAGAGTCAAAAGCAGATGTCAGATGATAGTTTAAGTTAAAACAACCTGAGCTCATCACACAGGTTGTTCTAAAGTCGCAGGCTCTTTTTTATTTATTTTTTTTACACTTTTGAAACAACCAGTGGGATCCAACTTGATGATTTAAGGGGGGTAAAAGGGCTCCTTTAGGAATAAATCATTTGTGACATAATCTGGTGCCTGTAAAGCCCAACAAAGGCTCAAGAGTCATATTAAACTAAATGAATTGTAAAACCAGTAGATATTTACGGTATGGATGATTTGGCCAAAAAAGCATATGCATGTTAATAAAAGAAAGGGTCAGGAGAAAAAATATTTTTATTTAAGGGGTGAATTTGTGGAACAGTGGAAAATGTGTACCACACTGTTTAATTTAAAAAATAAATTAAGATCTAATGAACAAATATAAAAATGTATCATCATATTATATGTTGGCATTAGTTGGTATTGGCTGATGTTATCTGATCTGATCCAATCTTGATTTATGTTGCATTGTTTCCCTCCTGGTTTGTTGCCTGACTTGTCATTGTCTGCTTGTAGTTATTATAATTATTTATAGAGCAAACTTAATTGATTCCAATTGTAGCATTTATTATGCAGTAAGAAAATGAAAACAAGCTTGGACAAACCTCTTTACCATTTTAAAACTCTCTTTAAAGCTCAAATTAGCAAGGAAATATATCCAGAACTCCCTTTGGGTTTGTTCCTGCTGGCTTTCCCTTGGCAGACCAAATTATTCATTCAACATGAATCATTATAATTAAGATGGATACTAGACGTATAAAATTCTGAAACATCCAGTAGTTAATATCTATGGGAAAAGTACGTTATGATAGATGTGATAAAAGCATCTAAGCAGTTCCTATTCACAAGTCTCATTAACAGGCACGTTAGTAAAATCTGACACCAATATGTGATGTATTATTCAGCTCTCTTGTGTTGAATTAACTATGACGGGGTTGAAAAATTAAGTGCAGAAACAAAAACATTCATTGTAAAGGTTGGAAACGTGATGGATTCATGTGCTGATTCACATTCAGTAAATCACCTCAGAGCCTTCTCCTCTGTACTACAGTACCACAGGAACAGAGGCTGTATGAGGGCAAGGGGATAAAGGTTGCACAGGTGATTTAAAACTCATTCACCCCCTGCTGATATTGGCCTCTCATTCAGGAAAACACTGCAGGCTGTCAGGCAAACGATCCATCAGGACTGTCCCATTATCGAATCCTGGGGTTCCCACCTGCTACTGCTAGACCTGCCTTCAAAAGATCCATGCACACAAGAGTTTGTGTGTTGCATTAAAGCTTCAGTCTGTTCTCTCTGCCCCGAGGCCCTGCAGTCTGTGGTTGCTCCTTCCCCGACTTCATCCAGGCATGACCAGTAGTGCTACCTCCTTCTTAGCTATTATTCACACAACACTCAGAGTGCCTACACCCTCAGAGTGATGGTCGTTCAGCTGAGATTACGGCTAATACAGCTGTACCACATCTCATTTACAACTAAATCTCCTACAGTGTGTTTTGAGCAGCCGAGAGTGGAGAAAGGAAGAGGCCCCAGCGTGGTGTTAATGTTGCACGGATGACAGCACTCTCAGCTAATGGAGGAAACGAGGGCTAATATACAAATACCAGTGGTAGTGGTAGCTCAAATGATACAGACACACAACTGCAAGCGTGATTATGTTTTGTTTATCTGCCACCAGGGACACTGGGCAACCACATTAATTTCCCCAGAGTAAGGAAACCGTTCATTTTAATCCGTGTCTGCAAACATATGTGCAGTGTGTTGGCGCAGGTAACACATTCCCCCCTTATTTTTTCTTTTCTACTCACACAAACACAGATTTACCAACGTTAAGCTTCCGCTTGCAGCCATGTTAACTCCATTACATGTATCTCAGTGCTTTGCTCGTCTTCATTCTCTGCTATAACGTCCAAGGCTACTTATCTCTGGAGTAACACACATTCAAGAATCCACAACATGAAGGAGTAAGCTGTTTACGTTGCCTAATGCTTTTACAGTCACGGTCACAGACAAAAGTACTTACCGTGGTTTAAATACCCGCACAGCGCAGACAAGTAAAATGAGAGTGGGGAATCCATTAAGGTGAGAAAGTGGAAATGTGCTTCAAAGTTTTCAACAGAGCAGCAGCACAGTAAGCGATCGAATGGCATTTGGCTATGCGGTTACAAACGTCAGACAATACAATACAATATTGACCACTGCATTTTCAAAAAGGTGCCATTTTTCTCAGAGGAAAGCAATTTCAGACAGGGTTATGCAACATTAAGCTGCAAAATATTCACATTTGTCAAGATAAGCAGTTCTCCAATACAATTATTTTCTGGAGAAAGTAGGTCTGCAAAAGCTCATGCTCTTCTGTTATTCAAAAGGAGAGTCTTATTATTTTTATTCAGATATTCCGCCTGCACACTCACTCCAGATTTCTTTTACTCAGCTCTGTTTATTTATTTCACAGGTACTACAGACATGAATAAATAACACCATTTGATGACCGTGATTTAACCAAATCTGCAGTCTCTGAGCAGCATGAAGTTCAAATGTATGTTCAGAAGCACACTGCCATGCTACATCAGCGCACTGAATGGACGCAGGCACTGGATGCAATTTATCGGCATTCATTATGTTTAATTCAGCGTTGTCATGGTTACCCCAATAAAACATTTATGGGATCACTATATTGCCCGTTAGGTGACCCTCGTGGACAGACAAATACATTTCCCAAGAGGTTATAAGGCTGCCTTTGACAAATGATAATAATCAGGTCACAAAGTTAAGATTAACTGAACTGCCAGTGGGTAAAAGATCCCAGAGATGGTGGCCCATTTTTTTAGAATATGATATGACCTTTAGACAACAGATGATTGTCCATGTTATATCGTAATGACACAAATGTGACAAAGTATTAAAGTCTCCCAATAACTTTTACCAAACTGACTTTGCATGGACCAATAAAAAAACCTACTCATAAATGCTGTAATGCAGGAATGGAAAGTTATTCATATGAAAGTTAAGTACAAAACAATATTTCTGAAGTAGCAAAAGGAGAATGTTTTTCTAATCATCAGTTCTCAAATGGTGTAACAACACAAGTAAATTCATACAGGCACACTTTGTGTAAATAGTGCTACTTTTTCACAATTTAAAAGGAGCAGTCCGGCTATTTAGTATTGCACTTCCATAAAGGTAAGGGACAACAGAAGAGTTGTCAAAGGAATAGCCAAGAGATCTAACCTTTAGTTCCTAGTATGGGTCCAGTTCCAAAAACACTGACACATCCTACACTTCCCATAATGAAACTCAATAGCATCACTCACCAAAGTCACCACATCTTTCAAACTCTATCTGTAGTCCACAAGCCAAACAAAAATAATGTCACCTAAATATTTTCTCTCAGATTTGACAAAGCTTCTTCCAGATCATCAGGAAATGTCTGCACCCCAGGTACACCCACATAGGTGTTTGCACTTCTTTTGGCTTATTAGAAGTAATTTATATGTGGGTATGTGGGAGTGTACAGACTGTGGTTGACTGACATTCCCCTCAATATCCTGTTAGCTTTGTTGAGCCTTTAGGGTGGGAAATATTAGACCTT